GACCCAGCCTTCCTAACATTATACACTATAAAATAAGTAATAAAAGCTTGTATTATTCACACCAATATATCAGGTCAATTTCGATGTCAGCCAATTTTCAAAGCTGCAAAATCGGTATCCTATCTGAAATGGAAAAAGTTGTATCATTAATAGAAACCTTTGAACTAAACTAAAAAAAAAAATAGGAATAAGGGCCTGGTGGACAGATCAGCTGTGTAGATTATCTTAAGGAGTTAACTCACATATACTATCATAAACTTTTATATTAAAATATCTAAGAAGAAAAGTCTTAATAAATGTAGCTCTGATAATTATTTATTACACATAGCTTTCTGTTTGTTGAATTATAAATCTGTCTATACCCTTGGGGGGGGAGTGGTGGCCTAGTGTTTGGGAAATATAGCTTGGAATCCAGAGTTTCTTAGTTCAAACCCCACTCCCACAGACTGGCAATCTGGGTCCCTGAGCAAGACCCTTAACCCCATACTGCTCCCTGGGCGCCCCATGATGGCAGTCCACTGCTGCCCAAAGGGATGGGTTAAATGCAAGATACATTTCTCCAATGTGAAATCAATAAAGTTCAATTATTTTTTATTATTAAGATAAAAATGTCTAAAAAGAAGTCTTAATAAATTTAGCTCTGATAAAAAATCACTGTAAAAAAATACATGTTTTGTTTGTCTAATTAAGGACCATTGCTGTTAATTATTACACATAGCTTTTTGTTTGTTGAATTATAAATCAACAAAAATCTTATAAAATCTTTTATTTTGAAATATATAACCGGAAGTGATAGAGTATTAAATTCTGAGCCTGACGCACTGAGCCCATTAAAGCTGCGGCAGAACATCAGCGGTACCACCTGATCCAGAGGCAGCAAAAAAGAAACCGGCGGAAGAAATACAGAGAAAAAATATCTGACACATCCCATCATAAACAGGTAAAGATCTTCCTCCACTGATCTTTTATACTTTGATCTTTTTTTTTATTTTTTAGACTCTGCAACTGAGGTAATTTTAAATTATCAAAGGTAATGGTCTACAACTAAAACAAAAGGATATAGGCCTACATTCTTATTATTCTAGGTTTTATTTATTGATGAAACATTTTTGATTAAATGTGTAATTCGGGATTTTCTTGTCTGAGTCGTGATTTCTGCCTGCAGCTCCGCTGGCCAACGCCTTAAACTGCTGCTGAAACACTGCAGCCAATAAAAATCAGCATCCATGGCTGTAATAGGTGACAGATTTTAACCCACATCTTTGTTTTTCTGTTGCTTCCCACAAGGTGGGTTTTTTTTGTTGGTCCCTTGACGCATGCAGGACGCGCGTTTCCAGGAATAAAAGCAGCCTGAAATAAAACCCCAGATATCTGAGCGTTATTTCCGTCTTCTGAGACGCGCTGACCCGGTTTTTGTTCCAGTGCCAAAATAATCCCCATCAGTCAGAAATAGGGCTGACTGATGCAGAACCACGCCCAGAGGGACAGAGGGACAGGCTGGGGTCTTTCAAACAATAACCATCTCTATCATCTTCTAATTTAACTGATTAAAGACGCTTATTTTTAGTCTCAGTTGGTCACTGCTATGCATGACCTCAGCATATTCTATTCTCATTATTATAAAGGTACCCTGCATTTTAAATTAACAAAGCTTGTCTGGCTTTTATATAGGCTGCATTTATACCCTTTCTACACCTGTTTTAATTGAACACTCAAATTTGCTCTAATGAGCACCATCTCCATCTGATACAAACACAAGTGAAAACAGGATGTACATTCACATCTGGCCTATTTTAACTTATTGGACCAATATCAATGTGTAGAAAGAAAACACCTGATATGGTCCCGTATTGATTTTAGGGGGCATCCTTAAAATTAAAAATAACAAATCTGGGCGTGCTATTCTGTTCAGATCCTCCGCAGACTGCTTTACTGCACAATTTTTGACTCAAGATCTCAAAAAAACATGCACATTCTTAAAAAGATGGTTTAGACCTTCTTCTGTTATAAGTAGTGTTGTACCGTTGCCATTTTTTGGCCCCAATACCGATACCTCGCTGTGCAGTATTGCCAATACTGATACCATAACAATACCATCTATTTGAAATGAATGTGTGTGTTTATATATGAAAAACTGCATGCTACATGGATGTAAAATAATTACATCATGGCTTTGTCAAGCTGCTGCCTACCTTTGTGAAGCAGGAAAAATTCTAATACAAAGTGAATTCAGTAGAACTTTTTATTGCCACCTGGAATGGTGACAATAGTTGAATAAAATTTTGGCTCTCAAATGGTATCAATGTCCTATTTGTTGGTACTCGACCATACCGATTCCACCAGTTTAGTGCTGGATCAGGGCCCTGCCCGATACTGGTATCAGTGCAACACTATATAACAGTTATGCAAAGATTCTTTTTTTTGGAAGTTAGATTATATAATGAATACATTTTTAACAATAAAGTATAAAAACAAAGTTGTCCCAGATTGTTCTAGAGGTGAATTAAATTGGGTTGAATTGAATTTACAGAGAATTCTGGGTAACAGCTTAAATATCTGTTAAACTGAATTATATTTTCCATTAATTTAAAATCTGTAGAAAAATGATCTGAGACCCTACACCAGTGTTTTTCCCAATATTTTTGCATGCATTGATATTTAGTATCAGTTTTGCAAGCTCAGAAAATAAAATCCTAGTATGAGTTAAAAAAAAAAAGGCTGAAAATGACACCACTAGACTATTTGATGCAGAAGTATCACATCAGATAAAGTTGAGATATCTGGACCCCAAAGCAGATGATGTTTGGCATAGATTAAAAACAGTACTGAAAGAAATGCATCTTAAAGCAACGGAAATACAAAGAGGTGGAAGTGTCATGGTTTTCACACACCAAACATCCAAATTTTAATATTTATATAATTTTATTACATAACTTCCCATTTACTTCTATAGATGCTTTTAAAACCTTTCAAATAAACCTTATGACGCCTGCTCAGTTATTAGAGCTTATATAAAAATGCATAATTGTGAGGTTCATTTCTTGAGAATTAATAAAGTATAATTTCTCAAAACTAATTCTGAGTTTAGTTATTTCAAAAATATTAAGTTTATTGAATTGTACAATAATTAGGGTTAACTTTATTCAATTCAAACAATAAGCTTAATTTTTTTTTTTATAAATACACTTAGTAATTTTAGTAAGAATACTCTATTAAAACTAAATGCATAAACCTGATATTTATGTTTTTAAAATAAATATGGTTGATTATAAAAATCAGTATGCATCATGTAAGGTTTATTGAATGTTTGTGTTATTATCTAATAAAAAGTTCAGGTCATGTTTAGTGGTGAGAATCAAATGCAGGAAGCAATTATAGACCAAAAGAAGTAAAAAAATAAATAAATAAATAAATAAATAAATAAATAAAAAGCTTATTAAAATAATACTAAACAGGAGAGAGGTGATCAGGGTAGGCAATCCATTCCGCACTAGAAGAGTGTAGTGTAGTCGCTGTTCCAGCATTGAAAAATGCTGTAGGGTGGACAGGCAGGTGGCAGATCTGAGGAGCAATCAGATGAATGTTTGCAGGAGGGCAGAGGGAGGAGCAGAGACAGCAGTCAGCAGGACTTCCAACACAAGACTTCAGTAGGGACTAGGCCAAGGAACCAGAGAAGAATCCACGAGAGGAACTGCAGGGGAGGACAAAGTCAGAAAGCCAGTATTAGGCTACTTTTAGCACAATATAAGCCCTAAAGGCAACTGAGGGAGCTGTTTACCACAGGGTGTGATTTAACCATCAGGCCTCTTCTTCTTCTTGTGAGGTTTTATGGTGGTTGGCAAACTAGTGAAAAGTGCATTACCGCCACCAACTGATACAGTTTAAAGCAAGGAAACAGGAAACGACTAGAAAACTGTTTAACTTAACCCAACATAATAAATACTTAATCATTTGCACTAATAATTTTAATCTATCTTTAAGTCATTGTCTCTCTGCCTGTTCCTGGTGGTTTTCCTATCATGCTCTCAACTATTTCCCAGTTTAAATCTTTAACTTCCAGATACTGTTCTGCAGCTTTTACTATTATTTAGATTTTTCTTTTCGTCTGTGCAGTACAATTGATCACTTCAACCATGAAAAGGACAAAATCTTTTAAACAATCATTGAATCTTGTTCAATTTTGGGACATTTATCCAGAGGTTTTGAATTTGCCATATTTTGAACTGTAGGTTTTTTTTTTTTTTTTCCAACTGAGATGGGATCCTTTTTGCAGCTTCAGCATAAGTTATTCCGAGCTTAAATTTCAATTTTTTTTATTTCCTCAGACCTTTTGCTTACTTCACAGCCGCGATATGCAGCAGTATGTTCCCCACCACAGTTACAGCATTTGATCTTAGCTTCTTTCCCACATTTTCCATACTCATGCTCTCCAGCACACCTTCCACATCACTGTTTTCCTTTACATACTGCTGCAATGTGTCCGAATTATTGGAATTTGAAGCATCTCAAAGGTGGAGGATTGTATATTTTAACATTGTAACCATCAGGCCTCTGGAACCAACTGCTCTTTTAAGCTCTGGATAATCACCCCTGATGAGGCACAGCTGGGGGTCAGACCTGCCTGTCACATCCTGCAAAGGGAGGAATGAGAAAAAAGAAACACGGGGCATAACAGTACATGGGAATTTGTTATGTAATAAGTTTATGTAAATCATAAAATTTAGCTGAAGTGCTTTTGAAAGTATGTGATGACATCACAGTTGGTTTCTGCAGGGTGTTTAAAGAAAATGTGAGACTGAACCTAATGACTGAACAACCTACAACAAGACAATACACAAAACTTAGAGTCAGGGCTGGGCTACTGATCCAAATGAAATGATACAGTGAAACAAAACTGCACAATATATGGAGATGCATATTATAATATATATTATTTAAATTAAGATTTTTGAATGCAACAGTATGCAGGTATATTCATACTGATTTTAATCTTTATCCAGACAGTGAAACGATGGAGAAATCTAGCAGCCAGTACGACTCGTTCCTCTTCTGGAGGCAGCCCATCCCGTCCCTCGACCTGTCGGAGCTGGAAGACCTGGGATTTACCGTCAGCCAGCCGATGAGCAGCAGCAAAGCAAAAGATAAGACGTCCAAGCTGCGCGGACGAGACGATGGCGTGAGCGGATTGGTCTATAGTGTTTTGGTTCATTGGGTAGTGTTCTCTCCTGAATGAGCGGCACATTTACTTTTGTTTTTTTATGCTTTTTTCCCTGCAGGATGCGCTCTCTGAGTTTTCCTCCTTTAATTACTGGAGAGCTCCAATCGCTGATGTGGATGCTCTGCTGGCTGACCTGAACCTGCTGCCCTGAACCCAAATCAGTCCTACTTCATCCAAACCTATAATAGGAACTTTAACTGGAACTCTAACTCTGCAGACAGACTAAAGTTAATCATGATGATTATCCATGTTTCTTTATTTGCAGCCAAGTTCGTCCCAGTTTCAATATTTATTTCTGCTTTTCACAAGATTCAAGACTCTACGAACCCTTCATGCAAATTTGGGGTTTAATTCCAAACACAGGCACGAGGTTAAACCCTGAATTTTAATTTTAACTGTTTTTACCTGCAGGATCAAATAAGTCTCATTCATCTGGAATGAATAAGACTTTGGTTTTTGCAAAATTTGTTAATATTCTTTTTTTTATATATATATATTTATGCCTTTTTTGTCTAATTTGATGCTGCTTTATGAACAGCTAATTCCCCACATTTCTATTTATTTATTTATTCATTTATTTATTTTACCTGCTGTTGTTGAGCATGACTGGAACTTCAGCAACAGATGCCACATCA